TTATAAAAATACTATATTGATTGATTAGCTGATATCGCAACCATTGACTTATTGATTGATTGACTAATTGATATACAAAGTATGCGTTTTTCAGTTCAGTGTTTACTAAGTTGTTCTTGATTCGTATACTGATAAGACGTTTTTTAGTGAGGAATTATCTAGGTCCCTATCACTGAACTACGTGTTACGGAAATTTTTAAGTAAATAGGGGTCATTCTAAAATGTGGGTATGTGAGGTCGGAAATGTTTACCGATAAACATCAAAAACTATCAGAATGATGATACATTTAACATTTACATGCTAGAATGCATGCAGTAGCTTAAGACCCTTAGTCCGTGACGCCCCCAAAAGCTCTTCCATTGGGCTCATGGTGCAGGCGTCCCCTGGACTTCTGGTCTCATAAACACCCTCAACTAATCCAGACTACAGGCCTCACACCATATAGTTAATACTGAAGATAATATTGCAGTAATACAATAATGTATTTATGAATTTGTGTTTCATATCACGCAGGTCGACGTCGTGGGGGTAAGAGGAACAAAAGACGACAAAATCAAAGAGCGTCTGCAAACAACAGATACCGAAATTACAACATATATGATATCACATACGCAGACGAACCAGATGTTGGCGCGTACACAAATTTGGCGCAACTCAACAACAGAGCATGCCCAACTTCATGTAGAAATATATACAGACCAGTATGCGGTTCCGATTTAAAAACGTACAGAAATGGCTGCGAATTTCGAAGAGCTAGATGCATCGCAAACCAACCAAGATTTATCTATCTCAAAGAAAGTTGCCCATCATACATCACACGTAAGTACAATCTAATTCAATATAAATATATTTTGGAATGCTAAATTATAATCAATTTCCGGGCTCTACTGACGATTTGGAATTTTGGTTCTATAATAATTTTTTTTATACACGTCATCACTTGTTTGATCATGTTTTTGTCACGGAAATTTTTATATATTATAACAAGCCTCACGTTTGCACGTATTGGGATTATCACATACGAGGACAATCGGGAGTGAGGAAGAGATCATACAGTCCTGACAGTGAAGTAACAAAGATATCTGAGGCTCCTGGCTTCTTTGGGGCCTACAACCCTGGGGCTGTGTCTGGGTTGAGCTCAGTTGATCGTTTTTGACGTTTTAAGGGCGTAGTTTGATGTTTTTATTTCACGGAAATACTGCTGAATGCCCGATGCCCTTTAAGGTCCGCACCATTGGCTCTTAGCCAGTAAGAGTTCATAGCTATTACGACACTGCATAATAATCAATTAATGTTAACACTCATATCATGTATAATAAAATATACTCCACCAGAGTTTATTTGGTAATCTTGTTAGTCATAAGCAAGATACGACCATATCCATCAATTATCATTACACTGAACATTACCTATAAATAATATTAATACAAACACACTTGATAATCTCGATTTTTCGGGTTTGTTGTGATTTTTAATTTCTAAAGGAAAATATATCAAATAGTTGTCGGTTCTTAAGAAGGTGTTGTTATAAAAACATCTTTTATTTAAAAAAAAACCCGAATGATTGATTTAAATAATTTTTTAAGAGATAAATCCGTATGATTTCATCTCTAAACATGGGAAGTCAAAAACCTTTCTGATAATAACAACAAATCAATCAAATTTTATTTCTGGATATTAATTCCTTAATTGTTAAAATGTGTTATCAAAAACAGCTCTAAGATATACATAGTATCCGCAACGGTTCTACGCTAAATAAGATAAGTTGCAATACAACATATGCCTACTGTAATTGTTTGAGCCGTGAATTCTCAATGGAAACAGAAACTATTTCTTCTATCCTTTGAACCATCATATTTTACCTATTGATAACATATTTTATGGGAACATTCCAAACAAAAATAACAAAATATATGAAGTAGTTGTGACTACCGCAGGTCTATATTCAATGGCCCACCGCCGTAGTGATTTTATAACGGCGGTAGACTGTTATACATGAAATAATAATTTTTGTTTTCTATCTTAGGGTGTGATTTGAGACATTATTGTGAGCCAGGACGGACAGTGTGTGGTACTGACGGTGTAACGTACGCTTCGGTGTGCCAACTGAGCACGCTGAGGTGCGGCAATGGGGTTACCGTCGCACACAAAGGTGCATGCAACGCAGAGTTACAGAACGTGCAGAGAAACGGCGGCACAGGGGCGGCCCCAGTCGTCAATGCTCAGTCTTCTGAGTCTGAAGAAGATACGGCTGCACTTGGGAACGTTAGAGCTATTCAGCCAGATCTTGTAAGACCAAGAGCAACGAGACCTCCACGAGTTACGACAATATTTGTGGCACCAACAGTCGTCAGAGATAGTCGACGTAGGCCAAGACCTCGACCTAACGTCCCCCAGCCAGAGCCCAATCCCATGCCCCAGCCAGAGCCCAATCCCCAGCCAAGGCCTAGGCCCATGCCTAACATCCCACTGGCAACACAACCTCCAATTAGACCTTTGTTGACAGGTAAGGTATAAAAATTAGTTGTTCTTATGCATACATACTGTACATAAACCGACTTGAATCATAATTATCCACATATACATTCATTCACTTATTTTATATACATAATAAATATGTGAGAAAAACCTATGCCCCCATTGGGATTCGAACACAAGACCTTCCGATACCGTTCGGATACTCTACCAACTAAGCTATGAGGGCCAGGTGTATACACCTTTGGATTTTCCACAAAGACACATTCTTTCTCAAGGAATTACGTAATACGCAACGAATAATCACATCATTAACATCATCATTATAAGAACATTATAATAACGTTACAGTTTGGTGTTGAAAACGTTATTTTGTATAACCATAAATACGTACTTACAGCGTAATTTCACATCGTTTCAACGTTCTCAAACGTTGTGCGAACGATATTTCGACATACTTAACCACAACGTTCGCGAACGTTACAAGAACATTTTGTGTTTGTTAGCGATAACACAATTTTCGCTGTAATTTCTTTCTGGGTTACAAACTTCCGTGATCGAAGTATGACACTCGAATGCAACAGGTTGTAGGTATAATCCCCACCTGATGCAATTTTCCTACAACTGAAATTTTCTTGTTTAATGTGCTATGATCAATACGTTCATAGGCCTATAAAGTTTGTTTCTAGCATAGAATTTTTAAAAAGCCAGTAAAAATTAAATAAGCCGCCGTCTGAATTTATAAAGTATAAACCAAAATAGTAAATTAAAGTTGTTGTGTCCGACTGTAAACATAATATATGGAAACAAATTGGAAATTTATAGAAACAGTGTTTAAATATTGGAATAAATAACGTTGTAACCGTAGCAATCGCAACCTTTCAACTTAAAGTGTCTTCCTTCCGTGGCGCCAGAAATTTGCCAACAAACGGTCCAACGTGTCTAAGGGAGGGGTCTGAGCTAAGGGGCTGGTTAAGCCTCGGACAACGTCCAAGAATAAAAAAAAACTCACGGGGAGAGTTTTATAGCTTAGTATGGTCCAAAATGTGCTTTAGACCTCAAGGGATTGGCAGTCAAAATAACGTTATTTGGATAGGCAAATTATTATTTTTTAAGACTTTTGATCCGACGACCTAGTAGGACGACAGGGGGTCCAGACATGCTGTCCGATGGAGGGGATCTCGCCACCCCCGCTCGTGCCACCACTCCTTATCAGTTGTCTAAAATACTTCAAGTGGGCCTACAACCTATAACATCTCGCTATTAATGCGAGCGTCATACCCTTAGACTAAACTAATTCCTCCATTGTAGACCATGGAAGCACACAAGCTATCTCATCAAACAATCGACATACGCCCTCAATGAGGCTTAAGTAGTCGCTTTAGAAGTATTTAACAGAATTATTACTATAGAATAAATTGTATCGAATTAATATTTTCTGGATTGATCCTTTTCATGTTACATTTCATTGAACCAACCTTAATTGCTTCCAAAACGTGATGCTACTACATTATTATTTAATTCCGTTTATGCATGTGACGCAACAATTTGTTTTATGGTGCCCTGCAACGAAACTATCTTTTTTTCCTTTTTAGTACGATCAACGATAGGAAGAATCGGAAGAGTTACCAGAAGACCAATAATGACAGAGCGACCTGATCTGAGACCGACAAACGCCCCAATAGTGTACCCGCGACCTACAGCCCCGCAACCTACGGTCGTAGATAATGCGTGTGTAGAGACCTGCTCACTAGAATACGACCCAGTCTGCGGCACGGATGACGTTACATATCCCAGTGCATGTGTGCTAAGAGCAGTCGCTTGTCAAAAGAACATTGACCTAACAATATGGTACGGCGGTCCTTGTGTTGTCTCCACAACTCCAGATCCATTTTTGTATACTACTCCACGACCTCAACCGGGACCGGATCCGAACAGCGAAGTGAAATGTATTGAGGGCTGCCCGATCGAATACATCCCCGTGTGTGGCGTTGATGGTGTCACTTATCCATCTCCTTGCATTATTGAGTCAATGGCATGCCTCTACAAGAATCCGTTCTTGCAAATAGATTACCCAGGAGAGTGCAAAACACCAGCGACGATGGTCGGTCGACTACGTGTCAGAGACAACCCATGTGAGGACATGCGTTGCTCAGTTGACGAATACAAACCGGTATGCGGGTCGGACGGAAAGATATACGATTCTATTTGTGAACTCGATAAGCGGGCTTGCAGTCTACTTGACAATTCGCTGATGGATGTAGCGGTCAAAAATTGTGTTCCTAAGGTTAAGCTCTACATTGTCAACCGCAAATACACATTTAAATTGGCTTAATGGACTTGAGTTGAACAATGTTATTGACATTATGCATTTTTTGAAAAATAAAAATGAAAACGATATCGTGTGCGGTCAGGACTTTAATTTTTTACGGTTATTTGTAATATTATATAACGAAGTGGTTAATCTTTTGACATGCCGTAAATAATTAATATAGCGAATCTGAAGATTTACAGTTAATAATGCCTTATGAGTATCTGCGCTTAGGGCCTACTTATGGGGAGCAACGCTGCCTCGATGGTAAAATTGGTATATGGATTCGTATTGAAATTTTAAAGGGATTTAATCTGGATCTTTTTTATTTTCAGACGAAATTTAACACTGTGCCTTGAGGACGCTTGGTGGAGAATCTTTATTGTTATTAAGTTATGATCCACCAATGAACACTTTGGATCTGCGAAAAAATATCGGAACAATAAACACAGCTATTCTAAATCATGCCTAGTGGGGACCCGTTCAGTAGTTTTTCTTGTAATTTCGAACGTGATTTTTCAAAGATACGGGACCGGACTTAAGGATCATTAATAGGGAGTTTTGGGAATCCAGCGTAAACGAGTCACTTAATCAATTGACTCCGCCTACCCAAAAGTGAGCATGCGTAACATTCACATAACTTTTATAAAGCTGTATTTGGTATTCGAACCGAAATTCGGACCGCGTTACCTATGCACTAATCGGTTCGGTAGACTTTCCGATCCGAATATTCGTCTTCGGTGTAAATGCAGATTTACGCTATGTACACGACTAAAATAAAAATGGTGGTAGTAGAGTTCGAAAATAATTATTTCGCTCTTACTTGAGCTTTTTACTATACTATTATTGATTTCTTATAAAAGTGGGCAATACAGAATGTGTAACATATAGTGACCCATAACCGGAAGTTGTGTAACTAATAAAATAGCCGATAATATGAGCCGAGGTCACTCTGTTATCATGAATTGGGTTTTTTTTAAATATTTCATCAACCATCGTGATTCTGCTTATGGTATTAGAGCTTAATTTTAAATAAAATGTATCGTCGATGAATTAAGCTTGTTTTCTCGTCTTTCTTTCTATAGACTATAATTGTACTCGATTTGTTACCAAATTCGTTAAAATGCAATTTAACTTAATATCGATTGATCAATCGGCATTAATGTACAAATATATAAGATGGTTTAAATTTTGTTCTTTGTATGGAC